CCTAAACATCATGAGATCTTTCCAATTACAAATCACAATCCTTGAATGCATAATTCAATTCAAGGACCAGTTAAGAGTCAATTTAAGAGTAGTTAAGATCAAAGTCAAGAGTCAAGTTAAGGGAAGTCCTTTAAAATTTTCAAAAGTCTTTTATAAATGTTTTAACTTTGTTTTAAGACTTAAAGTTCAAGTTGAGTAAAGAGTAAAGTTTGAAGTCCATTTCTTCAAAAGTATATGGGGACTATGTATTCCCAAAGGGTTTAAAATGTTTTCACATTTAAACAAGAAAGGAAACCTCGATTTCCAAAGGGCTTTCGGGCTAGTATTCATAAAAGAGAAATCGTTTTCTAAATGTAGCAAGAGGGGAAACTTTGATTTCCAAGATAGCCTTTGACCTAAGTTTTTGAGCACTAATCTCAAATCACAGAAGAAGAATGTTTTAAAACATAAAGAGCCCACAACCCCCATAAACCATGTAGCCATCATGGGTAGAAAAGAGTCATACTTTTTAGATGAATCCTTTTCGCATAGACTAGTGGATCCACTTAGTAGTTCAGGTCTTATACCTGTGGCAAGGTATAGGATGCGCTGGCAGCGTGAGAAAGATTGTTATATCATCACTATAGCTCTTAAGTGATGGTTGTTGGTTAGAGAAACTCCCACAACAGTACTTTGTATTCTTATATACACCAGTTTATTTGTATTATTACATACATTTCAGAGTTTTATGTATCTTTGCATACACACAGAGGTGACATCATGTTTTAAACAACCTTTTCTTTATATTGCACTTGTTTTAAACTGCTTTATATCGAAATGAGTTCAGTTAAGTTGAGCCAGCTAAGTTCTTCAATTCATTTCAGATTCTTTTCAAGCTTAAGTTGTGTTTATCATTCCAACTCGTACATTCAATGTACTGATGCTAGTTGGCCTGCATCTTATTATGATGCAGACACAGGTAAGTAGAATCGGCATCCGACGCATTGTTGATCCAGTGAGCAATTTAGAGTCTGTTGGTGAGCCTCTTTGCATTACAGAGGACTCCTTTTCATTGTTTTCAGTTTTAGTATTAGTTCATTAGGACGTCGTGGGCTGTCCCGAGATCCATCTCAGTTGCTTAGAGGCTTCATAGAGAGATAAATAGCCAGTTAATTAATTCAGTTGTCTTTACATTTCATTTCATGTGTTAAAGACTTGAGTTTGCCTTAATGGCCAGTTGAATATTCCTTTATAACATTCTAGTTACTTCATAAATGTTTACGTGATGAGTTATGTCTTCCGCTAAGTTAGTAAACCAGGCTAAGGGTTCGCTTGAGGCCAGCAATGGTCTTTGAGTGCCAGCCACGTCCAGGGTATAGGCTTGGGGCGTGACAACAGGGCATCTTCAGGCGGCTACTGATAGACCTCTGCTGGGGGGACATTGATCGAGACCAGATTTGAGGATGAGCCAGTTCTTTTAGGCTGTCATGAATCCTCTATTTATTTAGTCCATTCTTTTCGGACTCAGACTACATAGTTAGACTTATTCATATATTTAGTTTTTGGGGTTGTACCCCCATTTTCTTATACTTGTTGATTAGTAGAATTTTGGTACAATGCCTTTCAGTTCTAGGGGTTGAACTTCTGCGATGATTATGTTAATTGTTTTGTTTAAACCTTCGGAGTTTATGGGAACTCCATATTTAGTTCGTCATTTAAACTTGCTTCCATATCTTTAAATGATTTAGTTCCTTAAAAATGTTTAGTCGGGGTGTAGTAATGGTTCTCCACCGGAGGGTTAGTGTGGGTGTCAATCACAGCGGTCTGGGTCGTGACAGACATCGACAAAATTTTAAGAGTCAATTATTTTTTCTGTTTTCAAAATATTTTAATTTATTAATTATCATAATTTATAATAATTTTTACACAATATTTAAATGTATAAAAGGCTAAGAATAATAAAACAAACAAACTAAAATGAAAAAACCACAAAAAATTATCAAACTATCTTTAAGTGCCAAAGCAAACATGTTGACTTGATGCCTGCTTTGGCACTATGATAGTATATGAACTCCCACACCTTTATAATGGGAATAAGTTCCGTTTGGATTAACTAATCTTAGGTACTTTTGATTTTTAAATAGTTTTTAGTTTTGGAGGTGTTTGAAAAAATTATAAAGTACTTTTAAGCACCCACTTTTAGACAAAAAATTTTAAAAAAATAAATCAAAAATAGGATACAATCTACTTTTACTTATAAATTACTTTTTATTAGTTTATTCAAACAGGCCCTTAGCCGTAGAGTTGCATCCAAAATGGATTCATATTAAGAGAAAGAGAGAACTACCACCAATATTAAGTTTATCGATGATTATTTAGAGACATATATTTATGATAAAATATTTATTTTAATTTACTAATTTAAGAGGCCTACAAAATTTAATTTGCGTAAACAATTTTTTTTTAAATATATAAAATATAAATGAAGTCCATAAGAAAAATATTTAGCCCTCATAAGCATATAAATGATTTCAAGCAGGCATATTAACATTCACCTACCTGCTTAGGATTATTTCCCTCAGTTAAATAGTAAACAATAAAATGTTTGAACCTCTGTTCAATTTATTTCCCTCTGTTAAATACTTAGTAAACAATAAAATGTTTGAACCTGTGTTCAATTCTTTATTAACTTCCCCACGTCTTGAGGAAGAATATATATATATATATATATATATATATA